ATCCACATTGTATTCACTCTTTCACTCCTTGTTCTTCTCGTTTTATCATCATTTATTTTCTTGTCTCTCTCTCATCCACCTCTTCCTCTTCCTCTCATAAATCTTCATCCTCTTCCCCTCAGTTAGTCTTTCTCTCACCTCCTTTTCTTCTTCTTTATTCCTCTGCTCTTTCTTCTCCCTGTTTCATATATTTACTCCGTTCTTTCCATCCCACCACTCACTCTCCCCCCTCACCCTCTCTCACCTTCTCACCCTCTCACCCTCTCCCCCACTCCTCCTCTCACCCCTCACCTTCTCTCACCACCACTCACCATTCACCTCTCACCACCTCCTCCTCTCCCCACTCCCCCACTCACCCCACTCACCCCCTCTCACCCTACTCACCCTCCTCACCCCTCCCCCCTCACCCTCCCCACCCTCTCACCACCCTCACCCCTCTCACCCCTCCATCTCCTCTCCCCACTCCCCCCCCTCACCCTCTCCCCCCTCACCCTCTCCACCCTCCCACCCTCTCACCCCTCACCCCTCACCCCTCTACCCTCTCACCCCTCTCACCCCTCCCCCCCCACTCCCCCCCCCCTCTCACCCTCCCCTCTCCCACCTCACCCCTCTCACCCCTCACCCCTCTCCCCCACTCACCCCTCTCTCACCCTCTCACCCACTCACCTTCTCTCACCACCACTCACCCATTCACCTCTCACCACCACTCACCCTCTCACCCCTCACACCCTCACCCTCACCCTCCTCACCCACCACTCACCCTCTCACCCACTCCCCTCTCCTCACCCTCTCCCCCCCTCCACCCCTCCACCACCCTCACCCTCTCACACCACTCACCTCCACCACCCTCACCCCTCACCCCACTCCCCCTCTCCCCCTCCCCCCCACTCACCCTCCTCACCCACCACCCCCCCTCCCCCTCTCCCCCTCTCACCCTCTCACCACCACTCACCCTCTCACTCACTCACCCTCTCCCCCACTCACCCTCTCCCCCACTCACCCTCTCCCCCACTCACCCTCTCACCACCACTCACCCACTCACCCACACATCAGCCTCTGACTGCAGGCCCTCACAGTTCCTGACAGTTGGAGAGCTTTGCTACAAGTTGTAATGGTTTATTTATATTTCCGAGTGAAGGATTGGTGGGGGAGGAGGGGAAGGGGGTGACAACGGGAGAAGAGAGAGAGAGGTGGGGAGAGGAAGAAGAGAGACAGAGGGCGAAGAAGAGAGGGAGGCAAAGAGAGAGAGAGAGAGGCTGCGATCGAAGTTCCCTGTTTAGTATAGTCAAGCTGAATAGATAACACGTTTTCTCTTTTTTATTTCAATTTTCTTTTTCAGGAGAAACTGAAGTAAAGGCCTTATTTTCCTACCACATTTTTCTCTTGAATTTTATACTTGGTTGAGATTAGTTACGCGTCGTGTGGAAGAGCATTTGCATCTTAATTGCTGGTTCTGAATTTATCAAAAAGTGAGAAATGAGTCGTTGGGGTGGTGAGGTAGTTTTACTGATAATGGTTTTATATATATATGTGTGTGTGTGTGTGTGTGTGTGTGTGTGTGTGTGTGTGTGTGTGTGTGTGTGTGTGTGTGTGTGTGTGTGTGTGTGTGTGTGTGTGTGTGTGTGTGTGTGTGTATTGATATGATATGTGTGTGTGTGTGTGTGTGTGTTAGTTCCTTACCTTTAACACCTGGGCCACCTGTTGTCATTTCCACCACCTGTCTTCACTTCATCTTTCCACTTCATCCATAACTCACACTTCAGGAGCCAATGACAGTGATTCTTTTTGACACACACACATACACACACACACACACACACACACACACACACACACACACACACACACACACACACACGCACACACACACACACACACATAACATAGAGGTATATGGCAGTGAGCCTTATGCCAGGAAGTTACGAGGTATATCTTTTGGGTCTTGTGTCTCGGTGGTGGTGGTAGTTGTGTGGTGGTGGAGGTGGTAGTGGAGGTGTGGTAGTGGTGGTGGTTGTGGTGGAGGGTTGTGATAGGTGGTGGTGGTGGCTAGTTGTGTTAGGTGGTGAGGTGAGGTGGTGGCTATGGTGAAATGAGTGGTATGGTAGTTGTGGTGGTAGTGACAGTGTTGGGTGGTAGTGGTGGTAACTCTTCAGCTAATTTACGTGACGACGCTGAAAAGAAATGCCTTTGATTGGTCTATTCACACGACGGTGAAAAGAAACGTACTAATTGGTCCAAAGACATGACGTCACAGCAGATCTAAAGGGCTTCTCATTGGTTCACTATATGACCCCTATAAGGTATAGAACAGGTATATAACCATAAACACACCTCCACCATGTTTTAGTAGGCAGACAGACAGACAGACAGACAGACAGACAGACAGATAACTAGATATTTCCAAAATAAGAAGCACAAAATTTGCGCAATATGCCTGCCTGCCTGCCTGCCTGCCTGCCTGCACCCGCCAGCGCCACAACGCTTCACGCCGGTAGCCGCCAGGATACCACACCTTTGAGCTGTCATCTTTACCAACACTCATAATGTCCCACTGAAGCTGCTGCCACAAGCAATTTTTCAAGACACACTA